CATGCTTTATTATGTGTCAACAATGCAAGATTACAGGTAGTTCAAGCACGCGCAGGTTTTTGTATGTTAATCTGCATTACTAATCTTTCTAAGGAAGCAAGGTATAATTGTTCAGAACTAAGTGCAATACATAGAACTTACCCACAGCGCTCAGCGCAGCTTTTAGATATGATTGTTGACTGAGCACCACTATCAACGAACGCCTGAAAGGAAGTGAAGCAAAAAGTCTACAATCAATCAAAGCAACAGGGAAGAGGATTTTAAAATACAAAGTAACAAGCTACACTACTCAACATCACCGACTCAAACTTCTAAACTTGAAATATAAAATGAATGATGCTATAGTAAATGAGTTTCTCGCTACATTTTATTTATTTATTAATTTTTACAACTACACAAAATCGAGTTCCTGAAAAACCAGGAGCGAAAGGATGAAGAACGGAATGGATTTGAAGAAGAATAGAATGAATTTTTACCAGATCGATTTTGGATTTTGGATCTGCGATTTGATGAAGAACAGAATGGATCGATTTGATGAAGAACAGATCAAGTTCGAGTTCGATGAAGAATAGCCAGAGCAAAGCCCTCGAACGAAGAGGATTTTAAAATACAAAGTAACAAGCTACACTACTCAACATCACCGACTCAAACTTCTAAACTTGAAATATAAAATGAATGATGCTATAGTAAATGAGTTTCTCGCTACATTTTATTTATTTATTAATTTTTACAACTACACAAAATCGAGTTCCTGAAAAACCAGGAGCGAAAGGATGAAGAACGGAATGGATTTGAAGAAGAATAGAATGAATTTTTACCAGATCGATTTTGGATTTTGGATCTGCGATTTGATGAAGAACAGAATGGATCGATTTGATGAAGAACAGATCAAGTTCGAGTTCGATGAAGAACAGCCAGAGCAAAGCCCTCGAACGACAGAGATCGATGAAGAATAGCTAGAGAGTTCGATTGCGAGCGACAGAGATCGAAGAAGCGCAAACCATCGAGGGTTTTGGATCTGCAATCGAGCAAATCGAGGGTTGAGAATGAGAAATTGAGCGAGCGAGCGAGAGAGAGTGAGAGCTTCAAATCGAGGGTTTTGGAAGAGAGGAAAACTGAGTTGTGGTAGACTGAGAAAGAGAGACTGAGTCCAAAGAGACGGAGTTTTGATGGTGAATACATTGACCCAATATGGCGCCGTTTCACTGAGGTCAGACACAACGTTTTTTGAAAACGTTGTGTTTCGTGAATTTATAGCGGCGTTTTCCTAAACGCCACAAAAAAAACGTTGCTATACACCATTTTTCCTGTAGTGCACCCTTGAAGTTGGTGTCTTGATCTTGATGCTTACTGGTTCTTCAACTTGGACTTGTTTTTTTTGTGGTGTTCTGGTGCTGCTACTACGTTTTGATCTAAGATCATAAGACACAGACATAGAGACTTTTGGTTTCTTTTTCGGGGTTTCTGGGGTTGTACTGCTTCTGTGCTTTGCCATTTCTATAGAATGAAAACATAAACATTAAATCCCAGAGAAAATTACAAGGTAGCAATGATTACACAACAGAGAAAATTACAGGGTAGCAACATAAACATAACAGAGAAAATTACACAACAGAGAAATTTTGAGGAAATTGAGCATTGAACAAAATAAATATGCCAGAGAAAATTAGACACAAGACATAAACATAATGTGGCCAGAGAAAATTATAAATGCTGCCAGAGAAAATTAGACACATAAGTAAGAAAAGTAATTTGGCCAGAGAAAATTATAAATGCCAGAGAAAATTAGCCACACCAATAGAGTAGTAAGCCACAGATAATTTGCTTGAGAAAATAATGAAGAAACATAAACATGCCAAATAAAATTACACAATAGAGAAACACAAATGTAGCAAACCAAAGAAATTTAAAAAAACAAGAACACAAGACGCTTCAATAAGAAGCCCCAAATGCACAGAAAGCAATTCAATTTTGACAGTTGGAAGGAAAGCAACCCATCATCAGTTGGAAGCAAAGAAATTCTGGACTTCCAAAGAATTTCTCTGGATTCAACCCAGAGAAAATTCAAATTTCTCTGGATCACTTTCTCTGGGTTGAATTTCTCTGGGTTGAATCCAGAGAAAATTCAAATTTCTCTGAACCTGAAGATATTATATTCAACACTGGATATATATATATATATATATGTGCTGACTATATATATATATATGTATGTATCATATATATATATATATATGTTTGCAACCATAGATAAGATAACTAAGAGTGACTGTTTGATTATGGTTGCAAATGGTCTTAATTGATTAATTATGATATATATACTAGTCAAGACAGTAAGCAACAGATTGTATATATATATATATATGTATGTATCATATATATATACATCTATCAACTCCACTCCACTCTGTTTGTTTACCCAGAAAATCAAATTTGCCAAACTTAGTGCTTTTGTTTTGCTGAATTTGTTTTCGTACTCGCTGGAAAATACCCAACACCAGTATCAGCATCACAAAAGAGAATATCCAGTAAACAGGTCAAAAAAATCAACTCATCTGAAGATGAACAGACGTAGGGTATTTTGGTCCAAGAAATTGATAAAATGCGCGGGTATTTTGGTTAGGGACCTGAGGCAATATTACATTTTTTAATGTCCTTTATGCAGAAAATTGTTATTATTAGGGGGCTTAAAAAAAAACCCCTAAAATAAAATGACATATTTAAATTATAATTATTTTACTTTTTTTTCATAGTCATCAAATCAATTATAAAAAAAAGTCAAAAATTTATTCTAACAAGATTTTTTTAATCAAGCTAAAATAATAATTAAAAAAAAAAACAAGTCAAAAAAGTTTATTGCAAACAACACTGCTTATCTAATTTGACTTTTAATCTATTTTAAGTCATATCACCTCTCCATTTTTTTACACGTTTTAAAAAAAAAAAATCAAAAAATCAGTTTTTAACCAACTTCCCAAAACAACCCTGATATTCTATATTCACTTGTAAGAAAAGTGAAGGGTATTTTGTTCATATAAAATAATAAAATAATACAGATATTTTGTTCATGTCATTTCAAGAGAAATAACAAAAATCTTCTTTGGTTTAAATCACACAAAAAATTGAGTTTTTTAAATTTTTTGTATTTTTTTTATTTTTACTAATTTTTAAAAATATTTTAAGCAATTTGTTTTTATTTTTTAGATATACCTAATCTAGATATACTTAAGAAGTATAATATTTTATGATTTTTTTTAATGCACCAAATACAATATATATATAATACAAAAATTCAATACATTATTTTATTTTGTTTTATTCAATGATTTTTTAAAAAAATTTGTACAAATTTTATACTTTTAAAATATGTCTAGATTAAATTGATCTAATCCATATATAACGGTGAAAATAAAAATGAAAAAGTATATTCATATATAAAATTTATGCAAAAAATATTATAAAAATGTTGTGATAATGATATTATTGTAAATATAAATTATGTTTATGGGTATTTTGTTTTAAAATGAAAGGTCACCATTAAGTTGTCTTAGGGGTGAGTAGCGAATATATCGATCCGTCCAAACTGACCGAACCAAACCGATTCGTCGTATTTTGGACAGATGCGTGATGACAAACGGACGATTGCGGATTGATTTTTCCAAATCCGCTTAGTTTTGGACGAATGGCGGATTTGAGATTCCTTTAATCGCAACTGAACCGCCAAACCACGAGCATCTCCAATAATTTGTAAAACTATGTGTTTTCAATTTGTTTAGATATTCTATTTGTGTTTTCAATTGAAAAAGAGTTTAACTATTCTGTTGAAAAAGAGTTTTCAACTTGAATATATTTTTTCAATTGAAAAAAATTAATGCATTATTTATCTATATTTTTTTGTTTTTAAATCTAATTCTAAAAATAATAAATAAAAAAGATTATATATGTTGGTTGGTTTTTGTTTTTAAAAACAGATATAGATGTAACAATACAAAGGCATATAATCTCTACTACTGCTCTGTTCATAGTTTTGGTGGTTTGAATTGTTTTTATATTTTAAGAACCACATATTGTTATACTTTATGTAGATGAGGCATATTGTGATTAGAATATGTGGATGAAGCATATAGTGATTGTAATATTCTAAAATTTCAAACTTTCTTTCTTTGGATGAGGCATGCATTGATTGTAATACTTTTTAAGTCATTAATTGTAATACTTTTTTTTTTTTTTGAAGGAAGTGCATAAGTTGAATTATGTTGAAAATTTATAAAATTTTAAACCGCCAAACCGACTCGCATCCATCTACCAATCCGCTCAATCCACATCTGTCGGATTGGCGAATGAATACGGATTGATATTCTCCAATCCGCCAATCTAGTCGAAGGATGACGGATTGGAGGATCTGTGGCCACAACCGACCCGCGCCCACCCCTAAGTTATATCACTGTGTTTGAAAATTCTATATAAAATTATGTTTGTATATCATCACTCAATAAGAATATGTTCAGATAGAATTTAATGATGTAAAGTTGTATAATCACTACAACAAAAAGCATTTTTGGTGACGTTTTTTAGCAACCAAATTGAATTTAGTTGCCAATTGTATGTTTTTGGCAACAATATACATGTTGGTCACCAAAAATACATTATTAGCAACAAATATCTCAATTGGTCGCCAAAAATGGTTAGCGCCAATTTAATTTTTTGCGCGGGAGCGCTAAAAAAGTTTTGGCAACCAAATTAATATATGGCAACGAAACTGTTTGTCGCTAATTGTAATTTTTTGGCGACGGAATTAAAATAGTCGCTGAAAGGTGAATGATATTTATGACAACATAATGATTTTCGTCGCCAATAAATATCTTGTCAAAACAACGTCATTTTGAATTTGTCTTTTCTTTTTCTTTTCTTTTTATTATTATTATTATTATTATTATTATTATTATTATTATTATTAATGACCTTTAGGTGAATAAGCAAGATTGACCTAATAATATTCATCTCATTCCACAACCTGAAGCGGCACAACAGAAGACAAAGAGGTATGTCTTCTCTCCCTCTTCTTCGTCTTTCTTTCCCTCTCCCTCTCACTCTCACTCTCACTCTCTCACACTGTCTCATCTTCCTCTCTTTCTTCTTTATCATCAATTTCATTCTCTTGTTCGGCATGGCAGAACACAACACAACATTGATATTGGGACTGATTTTTCCCTCACTTTCTCACACTCTCTCATCTTCCTCTTTTTCTTCTTTGTCATCAATCTAATTTTTCGGACTGATACTGTGATTTTCGGACTGATACTGTGATTTTCGGGACTGATATATTCTAATTTTTGGACTGATTTTGGAACTGATTTTCGGGATTGGTATATTCTGAATTTCGAACTGATTTTGGAACTGATTTTTGGATTTTGGGGCTGATATTCTGACTTTGTATTTTTTGGGGACTGATATTATAATTTTGGTACTAATTTTGGGGCTAATATTTTGATTTTGGGACTGATTTTGGAACACAGGACAACACTTCGTTGTTTGTTTGTTGTTGTTGTTCATTATCAAAGGCTCATAGACAACACTTCGTTGTTCATTTTGATTTTGGGACTGATTTGGGTTCAAAATTATTTTTTTTTTCTTCATAGTTTTATTGTCGTAAAATAATATTCATTAATCAAAAATTTGTTATGAATGTGGTATTTGAGTATTTTCTTTCTCTCATCAAGCATGCTATATTTGCTTTTCATAGTAAACTTGGATTAAGTGTTCAACGTGCTCTATTGATGCTGTGGTTTTGGCACTTTTACGAAGAAGCTAATTTCTTTAGTTCAAAATATAATACACGTGGAACCTGGACAGCAATGCTAAATTCATTGTAGTGATTGATGCATAATGTCCGTGTAGGGTCTTCATGGCACTTTTGTTTATTTATTTACTTTTTTGAATTTTGTACAGCTTAAAAAAATTGAAGTTATTTGACTATAAACACAACATGACAGAATGATTCACTATTGAAAAGTGTTTTTTGGTTGGTGAATTCTTTGAAATATGATCTGTTTATTGCATCATTATTTTGTAAGGCTATGGAATTTATATTGAGTTGAAGACTGAAAACAGGCCGTTTGATGCTAAATTCACAAAATTGCTACATCATCATGACACATTATCTAACCAAACTACTAAATTCACAAAACTACTATTGGCAATAAGGCTGTGTTTTTCTTTTTTTTCTTTTTGAATTGGGGCAATAAGGCTATGTGATTGTTGGTTTTGGGAGTGGAATTGGATCCATAGTAAATTTAATTACACATTTTTTACAAAATAAAATAGAAATGTAAACAAAAATATTATTATTAATAGTAACACTTTCTTCATTTATTGTACTAATTCCATACATGGCACGTCCATGTTTCAATCTGAATTTTAGAGATCTATTGAACATGCACTGACTTTTCCTCTTCTTTCTTGGAGTTTGGTCTAATGTCATTTATTTACTTGCTGATAAATTTGTGAGCTAGGATATATTAGGATCCATGTATTAAGTCGAATTAACTTATTTTGTCACTGTAGCAATTGGTAACAACTCTCTCTGTCTCTCTCTACATGATATATGAAAATTGTTAATAATATCAACATTTTTTAATATTATGCTTGTAATCTTTTCTCTCTCTGTGAAAGTGCATATTAATTCAAGTTTAATTGTTTTTCAAAGCTCTAGTTTGTCCTTGACCTCAACACCTTTAGGTAATTGAGTTGAATTTGAATTTCTCAGATCTTTAACCTCAGCTTGTTTAAGTAATTGAGTTGAATTTGAATTTCTCAGATCTTTAACCTCAGCTTGTTTATGTATAATCTCATTTTTGTTAGTGATCATAATGTGAAATGTCAAACAAATTGATGGTCTTTATTCTATTAACCCATTGCTTTTGAGCAGGTTACTGCATTAATTTTTGTTTTAATGATCGCATCCACTATCCTTATTTGGATTGGGATGGGAAGGAATCCTGTTGACTCAAAAGTGGTGGCCCGGGTATGGACTTACTTCTGATTAGTTTTATTGTTGAGGCATTAATATTCTCAAGGAGTTCATACTAACTTTGTTTTCATGCACTAGTTAGCCAATATTGTTACAATCTGATTGCACACAACTATTAAATGTTAGATTGGTAAAAAATGATTCCAATGGTAAGAAGTGGGTTTTGAATGGTTTCAAAATGATTTTCAAGTTTTCACCTTGCAAGAAATGCACTTTCCAGGGTTATTTTTATTTTTATTTTAATTAGCCAATATTGTTACAATCTGATTGGACACAGCTATTAAATGTTAGATTGGTAAAAAATGATTCCAATGGTAAGAAGTGGGTTTTGAATGGTTTCAAAATGATTTTCAAGTTTTCACCTTGCAAGAAATGCACTTTCCAGGGTTATTTTTATTTTAATTTCATTTGTAAATTTTAATTTTCTTGTCATTAATAATTAGTTACACAATGGTACAATGGTTGTGATCATGCAGGTATATGTAGATTTTTCTGCCGTAGTGACCCTTTTATTAGGAGGGGCATTAGCATGTTATGGTGAGCATCTATTATTGTATCATAATTTTTAGGTGTCTTGTCTATTGCATTTATCATCTAATGCAAAAGTAGTACGAAACCTTGTTCACATAAAAGAAAGAGCATGATAGTAGCTTCAATGAACTAGAATTGTGTTTAATTACTGATTGTTTTCTAAGGTACTATGGTTGGCTGAATGGAATTTTGTCTTTGATATTTGGTGTTTTCCTGCTTTTTGATTGGATGTGCTCCCATTGAGATTGACTCAATACCCATTTTTTCTGTGATGAAAATAATTTCATCGTTGTAGGATCAAGTCCTGTAGAAATTGTTTTAGGGGTAAATTCAAACCAATCCATAAGTCCCTTTTCCCCCGTTATATTAAGTTTTTAGTTCATTAGCTAGGTACTTTTTCAGCCTTTCAAATATCCCCCTCCCCCTCTGGTTTGGCTCTGTGAGGCTCTCTATGCATTCTAAAACCATATTTTTCTTTGTTGTTGCTGTTGCTTTTGTGTAGTTCTACGGCCTTTATTATTCCACTCTCGAAAATGGAGAGCAACGACTCAGTTCTTTTTAATTATGTTCCTATTCATTTATTTGATTCTATAGTCAATTATGTTTAATTTCTAACTGGTGTCTCATAGTGGATTACGGGGATAGGAAATCATCAAGGATGAAAAGGCTTTTACTCAAGAAGGCTGGTTGTCCTAAACAATCAATGGGGTATTGCTTTTGGGACAATCAAGGGGCTAAATCCCTATATTACTTTGTGCAATACTCTTTGGCAATGCCTACAATCGATTCCTAGTGCAGCCTTCTAGCATTTTCCTTTTTAATAAGCCGCATAGAGATTGTTTTCCTTGATTAGAGGACATCATATCCATCATTCTTGACAATGTCACCTCCCAACAAAATTTTACACTTTGACCACATCAGACTCTCACGGGGGAGCTATGTTGTTTAAGATGACTTGTGAACTCTTTAACTATTTTTGAAAGTTCAATGGGGGAAGGATGTGGAAGAACTATCTTTTCCCTAGTTTTAAACTTGAAAAATACATCATTTGTAGCATGGAGATAATTGGTAATGGAGGCTTAAAATTCTCTTGACTCAGCAGAAGATGAAAGTTATATTCTAACATATGTGAAGTTGGAGAAACCTCAGTCGTACATCCAAAACTAAAAGGTTTAGTTCGTAACTCAAAAGTAACTACCTGCTCTCTCTATTTGTTTTTCTCATGAGAAAAACGAACAGACCCTCCCCCTCTTTAATCTTGGACTTAGATTCTTCAACTGATGACTAAGATTTCTACCATTTTACTGCTAAAGTTGGAGCCCTAAATTTAGTGAATCATGGTTTAAATGGTGGGGCTGTGGAATAGAACTTTTGCTCATATTTTGTACCCTTTCAATTGTTAAAAAACCTGTATACTATGTATGAAGGTTTCTTGAGTTACTGTTCTCCTTATCTCTTTGAATTGCATGTTTTCTATTAGTTCTTATTCAATGATTTTTATATTCAGGACTCGTATTATTCTTGAAAATGAGGAAAGTAAGATCTGAAAGAGCTTCTTCTGAAATGCGGAAGGTATTGAGTTTATTGTTTTTCTATAAGTTTTCTTTGCTAATGATTTTTAATTATGTAGTTGTTTGTACTAATGACATAATTTTACCCTTTTGTATCTGTGTTGTGTAGTCTACTACAATCATCCCTCAAAAATATATTATATAAATTTAAGTTATACTGAAGCTCCTTGGTTACTAATGCATTAATGCTTACGATAACTTTATATAATATGCATACATACATGTATAGATATATATTGCTATAATTGCTACTGTAGAGGGCAAAAATCCATTCTAAGAATATGAACAAGATGAATGTTTCAGGTTCTGTGCAGCAGTGATCCTGCAAAACAAATAAGCGATAAACACCTTGGGCCAGTTGTGGCATGGCCAGCAGCAGTCGGTCAAATAGATTTCTTGGGAAAGAATTCACAGTAGAGAGCTCAGAGTGCCTTACTAATAGATTTCTCATATCTCTCCTCGTTAAAGTCGGGTAATACTTATACATTGTGTGACTTATCCTCTAAGCTCTATAACTACCTCAAGAGAACATGGTGGCACCACTCCTAAAGCATAGTCAACTCCTGTTCCAACTTCCAACATCTTTCTGCAAGTTGCCCACTTTCTTAGTTATTAAGGGGTGATCCCCTAACTGTAGGCATGATCTTCCAACAACCATTATGAGTACCTTTGCTCAGTACAAGCCACATCTGTCAGCTATCTGTTATTCCTAAATATGTGGGGTCTTGATTTATCTTGGGTTTGGGGATATTTCTTTTGTTGTATTTGTATTTTTCAATGATTCTTTTTTAGTCCCTAAACTCCAGAATCCTTAACCTTTAGTGAAGTATTGTTTTCTGTGCAGGTTGCAGGCTTGGCAATTGTGTCTGTTCTATGTTTTACTTCAAGTGCTTTGGTTGCTCTTTTTACTGATATACCCGTATGTACTTGTCTGCTGGTCCTTCAATTATCATTTTCAATTCTCCAACTCTGGTTGCGTTGCGTATTACATTTTTTTCCCACCCTCTAAAAACTTACACGCTTAACAATGCAGATACTTTATGACTGGAATCATAAGCATGTTGACGGTGTCTATACCTCTCTTCTTCTGATTTTCTATTACTTCATAGGTATTTGTTTTAACTTCTCCCTTCGTGTTTCACATTGCTAAGCATTTCGGCTCGTTCAGGGGCCGAAATTGTGAAATGACCACCAGAACCACCGAAACTTGGCATGGACAGCTTGTTCAAGCCTAAATAGACTTGTAGGAACAAACGGGACCTCAATTGGATTTTCGGTTAAACAATTAGAAGGAAAAATGTAAAACACAAGACTTAAAAGGTCCGTTTAGCGGCCGAAATTCAAAATGACAACCGAAACCACCGAAACTTGGCACGGACAACTTGTTCAAGCCTAAATAGACTTGTAGGAACAAATGGAACCTCAATTAGATCTCTGGTTAGAAAATTAGAAGGAAAATTATAAAACACAAGACTTACAAGGCCCGTTCGGGAGCCGAAATTTCGAAATGACCACCGAAACCACCGAAACTTGGCACGGACAGCTTGTTCAAGCCTAAATAGACTTGTAGGAACAAACGGGACCTCAATTGGATCTCCGGTTAGAAAATTAGAAGGAAAATTGTAAAACACAAGACTTAAAAGGCCCGTTCAGGGGCTGAAATTGCGAAATGACCACCGAAACTTGGCACAGTCAACTTGTTCAAGACTAAATAGACTTGTAGGAACAAACGGGACCTTGATTGGATTTTCGGTTAAAAAATTAGAAGGAAAAATGTAAAACACAAGACTTAAAAGGCCTGTTCGGGGGCCAAAATTTCAAAATGACCACCGAAACCACCGAAACTTGACACGGACAACCTTTTCAAGCCTAAATAGACTTGTAGGAACAAACAGAACCTCTATTGGATCTCCAGTTAGAAAATTAGAAGGAAAATTGTAATACACAAGACTTAAAAGGCTCGTTTAGGAGCCGAAATTGCGAAATGACAACCGAAACCACCAAAACTTGGCGCGGACAGCTTGTTCAAACCTAAATAGACTTGTAGGAACAAATGAGACCTTGATTGGATTTTCAGTTAGAAAATTACAAGAAAAAATGTAAAACACAAGGCTTAAAAGGCCGTTCGGGGGCCGAAATTGCAAAATGACCACTGAAACCACCGAAACTTGGCACGGGCAGCTTGTTCAAGCCTAAATAGACTTGTATGAGCAAACAGCACCCGATTGGACTTCCCATTACAAAATTAAAATCAAAATTGTGAAGTTCATATCGAGGTTTTTTTTTTTTTTTTTTGGTCAATCTAATATATATATATATATATATTTTTCATGTGACAGATTGGCAATGGTGGAAAATATGATTTTGTGTTTTTGGAAATATTTTGACATAGGATTTTGGTAAATGATTTATGGATTAAATGTTTAGCATCAAAATATTTGGTGTTGTGTTTTTGCAAATATTTTGACATAGGATTTTAGTAAATGACTTGTTGGTTAGATGTTTAGTATCAAAATATTTGGTTGTGTTTTTGAAAATATTTTGACATAGGATTTGGTAATGTATTTATGGGTTTGATGTTAATAGTTTGTATGTACTTTGGTATGCATGTTTTAGATTGTCAGAGAATTGTAATTACGTTTATTGGGATTTTTCATAGCTATTAATTTTGAATTATTATGAATGTCTTGCACAGGTGTATTATTAGTTACATTACATTTGTGTATATATTGTGCACAGGAAAACAGGTGTTTTGGATTATTTTGAACAGGAAAATTATTGAAATCAAAATTTGTGTAGTGAATTTTTAGTGACAGGTGGTATTTTGGTCGCCGTTAATATATTTGGCGACAACATATTGTTTTTGTCGCTAAAAGTTAGTAGTGGTTATTCCAAGAACTTTTAGCAACCAAAACTTACTCGTCGCTAAAAGCGTGATTTTTAGCGACCAAATTAATTTTGTCATTAAATAGTACTTTTGGCGACGCATTTATTTGTCGCTAAAACTACATAGCCTATCCAAATTTTAACCTTTTAGTGACAAAATATATGATTTTTGGCGACCAATTTTGCTTGTTGCTAAATGTCTACATACGGTGACAATTTCTGATTTTGTCGCCAATACTTTTAGTGACAGGCCTTTGGCGACCAATTGTATACTTGTCGTCGATTCTTTTGGTGACGAAATTTGTACTTTTGGCGACCAGTTTTTGGGTCGCCAAATGTGTTTTTTGTTGTAGAGTCATGATGTTAGGAAGAAGAAATGGTAGGAAAAATGACAAGATGGTCATTTAAAAAAATTTAAATCATGACATTAGCAATTTAGGGGACAATTTGTAATGACATGAGGAAAATATAAGTAGCGTTTGGTAGAGTTTTCTAAATATGATTTGAGAATAGAGTTGTATTTTGAGTTTGTAAGTTTTGGAATTATGATTTGAGTGTAAAAAATTTGTTTGGTGAATGAGTTTTGAAAAGAATTTTGAAAAGAGTTTTGAATTAAGTGAGAAATTTTTAATGTCACATATGATATCTGATACAAAAACTTACAACCCATAACCAAACACACAACTCAAAAATCTATTAAAAACTCATAAAAAATTCCGAAAATATTGTTTTATTAAAAGTATTAAAAAAAAATTGCCATGCTTTGGTTGAACGGTCGGTCAATCGGTCAGATGAACGGTTAAGGAAAAATTCAAAAAAAAAATTCTCACCTGACACAAAGTTTAGCTAAATTATAGATTTTCCCTGAAGGTTTAGCAAAATTACTGATTCCCCCCTGAGGTTTTGCTAAATTATCATTTTTAAATAAGTTATGAAATGCAAAATTAAAATAGAAAAACACTTATCACACTACAAAAAATTAAGATTTTAGAAACCAAAATTTAGGGACAAAATTATTTTTAGGGGACCAAATATTTTTGTTGCGAAAAGTGTTATTATATTTTTAGTAACGAAAATTGAACAGTAGTGATTAATTATTATCTTTTTGGTATCAAATTTTTTGTCTCAAAAAATAAATCATTTTGAGACCAAATTATTTTGTCCTTAAAAGTCTATTTATTGTTGACAATTTTGAAATTTTATCTCTAAAAGCCTTATTGTTGATTTTTCAGGGCGACCTTTTAGCTATTATCCTCATGACCATAGAAATTAGTCTCTAAATATCTTTTGCAACAAAATTTTCACTTTTAGAGATCAAAAAAATTAGTCTTTATATGTTATAGTTTCAGATGGTGAAATATCATAAAATTAATAAATAATTAAATAAGTTAAAAACACAAGAAATGACTTGTCAAAATATTCTTAGAATATGTTTAGTTTGATTTTTAGCAATTTATTTTAATTTTTTTTAAATTAAAAATTAATTTCGTTAAAAAATAAAAAAATAAATATTATTTTTATATAATTTTATCTTTTGAGTGGTTAGAAATAATTTTTAAAAATTAAATATATTTTTTCATATTTATTTTTATTAAATTAATTTTTATTTTTTTTTAAATTTAGAAATTTTTTTCTAAACAACAAATTAAATATGGTTCCAAAAAATTAAATTTTTTTTTTCATCTAACGTAATTCTTTGTAAATTTTGTTCATTTATATCAAAGGGATTTCAGCATGGGCAATATCGTCCATCAATTTATATTTTGGTCATGTCAGCTAATCATTCTCATCGTTTAGTTAACGGTAGGGGTTAAATTGTTATGCAAATATAAACCTCGGGAGGTGTGATGTAATTTTTGAAATCTCAAGGGAAATCTGTAATTTAGTTAAACCTCAAGAGAGGTGTAGATAATTTGCCCTAATTATTTTAACCAATTTTATCTTTTATTACTATTTTAACCCAACCCAAGTTGTCAAACACTCCCTACTAATTAAACAAATTAAAAATGTAAGAGAAGGTAACGCAGAAAATAGTCAAGTAGGGTTTACGGGATAGCAAAATTATCCAACCTAATTATACTTGTTTCAATACAATTTTAATAGAAAAAGGCTTAGAAAAATATTGTTAAGGCCAGGACACCTCACAAGAAAGTTGTTTGGTTGATGTCAAAACAGGTTGCACCGGATAAGACTTGTTTAGTTGGTGTAGAATGACCCAGCGTATTTCCTCAAAAATTTGTCTAGTAAATTAGAAAAGGCCCGGACACGCGTCCACGGACCAAAGTTGTTTGGTGTGTTGCAGGGAAGTTGTCCGGCCGACCTGGCCTTATGCAGCGAGTTTTCTTGAAAGGTTTCCCCTATTTTCTCATTCATTCTAGCTTTCTAAGCTAACTCTTTTGAAAAGCGGATCAAACATTTTTGGTAAACACAATGCTAAAAATGGCCAAAATGAATGAAAAAGTGCTTATTGCCTTAAAAACATTTTTGAAAATAGATTTTAGGGTTCCGAAAACATTTTGGCCAAAAAAGGGGTATGAGGCTAGGAATCTCCTCCATTCAAAAGACTTGCTTGAGGATAACTTAAGATCCTTTTTTGTTTCATCATCGAGGAATCACTTTGGGGCTACTCAAGTCTTAAGGCCGGTCAAAAATGAGATGTCTACAAAATGCACAAGTCTTTTAGATAGAACAACGTACCTTGTAGACGTCAGTTTTGATAAGCCAAGAAGTCAAGTCCCTTAGAACATCTCCAATGGATATGTGTTTTCTTAAGTGGCATGTGAAATAGTAAAAAATGACATATGAAAAAGCTCCAACCATAATGCCAAATATCTATGTGGCATTTGGCATTCCCTCTCCTATGTCAAACTTGACATATGAGGAAGGAGATGCCAATCTTATTTTTTTTAATTTGTTTAATATGTGAGACCCATATAAAGCGTCTTTCTCCAAACATTTAATATGAAAGTTGTTATATTAAAGTAAAAAATATAATAAATTAATAAATTTGACATAGTGGGTGGAGTGCTTATTTTTATATATGTCAAATTGACACATAAGCCTTCAAAAAAATTTGGCAATTTGGCATATCCAAATTTGAAAGTTGGGTTGAGCAGACCTAAATGTGTGTAAATTTTTTAAGGTAATCAATTATTTTGAACAGCCTAGTAAGTGAAGAAAGCAAAGGCTCCTTTCTCACTCTTTCTCTATGAAAAAATATATGTATTCCCAGAGTAGTTGGAAAATTGCGGTTCAAGGACAAGATTCATGAATGGTTGAATGGAATAGCATTGGTTATGATGTTGCTGGGATCTTACTCCCGGTAGTGTGGTCTATTTGCGATCTCCCATTATTTGCCATCCAAATGAAAGCATAATTGTAAACAGCATATCATGTAAACTATTAGCTCATAATCAGTTTTAGGTATGATTTATGCCGTTGGCTATGTGAAGACAAATAAAGGTAACAAGAGGAAATTCTAACGTTTAAGGAGGCCAGATAAACATTATCTTGTGCCCATGTGCATATGTGTCTTGACCTGTTCCATCCATGGTTTATAAATCTTGTGCCCATGTGATTTAATGTTAAATGTATACATGTGACGTATCAATAGCTGGCAAAAAATAGTTCATGTGTCATATATCAGTATGTCACATTTTGTTTGTAGTTGCAGGAATATGCTAAGTCTTACTCTTATTGTCAGTAAATACAGAATTGGGGAAGCCTCTCTCTCTCTCTCTCACACAAATATTAAGTTACAAACAACTCATCCAATTCAAATTTTAATTTCTGAGAAATATTTAAATGAACATGCTACCATCCCTCCCCCTTCTCTGGGAGGATACTATTTACACCTTAACTAGCCTGAAGTTGTTATAATCCTCCCTGCCACAGGTTACATGGGATGAACCTGATGTTCTGCAGAATGTGAAGAGGGTCAGCCCTTGGCAAATTGAGTATGTCGAGCCCACACCACTGCTCCATTCTGCATTCCCTCCTGCAAAGAAATTCAGATTTCCTCAGAATCCTGGGTTACCAACTGATGGAAAGGGAGACCTCTTCTTTCCTATACCAGGACCAAGTAATTCAATGATAGGGTACTTGAAGCCATCATTGATGAATTACAATTCTTTTCCTGCTGGCATGCAGGGAGCCAGGCAAGATACATTTTTTTGTATCAAGTTTATCCAACGTGATAAGTGAAAATACCTATTAGATGTGCAAAGATAAATTTTTTGGCAACAACATGACACCAAAGGTGAGAACTGTGTCTACTGAGCTGAATATTGGCAGTTCACAGGACAATTTGTCACCCGATAGTCAGAGCAGTGTGCATTTCTATGGCAATGAGCTAGCTCGAAAACAGGGCTGCAACTCCTCAACAAAAGCTGGTTTGGGTTCGTTCCAGTTGTTTGATAAGATAATCCATATGAAAGATCCTGTGGAGAGTGGCTGTGATGATGTTGGTTGCGCAGAAGATAATGGCAGTAAAATGTTCAAAGAAACTGAAGGTGTGAAAAAATTGCCGGATCTTTCTCTGACTTGCCCTTACACAAAACTACTTGATGGGCTTGATTTTGAATACCACAGAGCTTCAGCTATTGAAGCATGTTCTTTATGAATAAGTGGTCTTTTTGACTTTATCAAATTTGAAGCTGTACAGGTAAGAATGCCTTTGTTTTTATTATGCTAAATTTGATCTTATGATGAAAAATGCAGAGCATGCTGATAGTTTTTACATGCATCTGTTGAACTTTAATGCTGTGTTTGGTTGGGGGATTTGGGGAGGGATTTGGAAAGGGAAATGGAAAAGGTAGGTGAAATGTGAATAAATCATGCCTTTGTCGGATGTTTCTTTTACTTGCCCTTACACAAAACTACTTGATGGCCTTGATGTTGAATACCAAAGAGCTCCAGTTGTTGAAGCATGTTCTTTATGAATAAGTGGTCTTTTTGACTTTATCAAATTAGAAGCTGCACGGCAACACAATGATCAGATTTGTAAATGATGCTCTGAAAATATTGGGTCGCTTTTAATTAAGCCTTATCCTAAGAACTTGTGTTGGCCACAAATCCTTCTTGGTTAAACCATATTGTGCAGGAGAGCTGGATTTGCACCTCTGTACTTCAAACCCAAGGCTTCTCCATCCTGGATTTGCACCTCTTTTTTCTTTCCTATTGTTGTAATTGTTGAACACTACTAGGATGTTTCAGTACCTATGTCAAGTTAACATTTTCTCTTTAGCGTTCTTTAACAAATAACACATATTTTGAACCAGATAATTTGCTGAACAATATGAACTTACTTGCATGTATGTGTAGTTTCACTGCCACGTTATACTGGAAATGGGTAGAAAGGGGTATTCTGTAGCTTATATATCTATCAACTTTTATAGTGCAATTATTATATGTATTTTAACTTGATCGTTGCCTTTTTCTATGCACAACTTTTTTATTGAATACACATTTTTATTTTTTTTAATGTTTTCTTTTCTTGTTAATGACCTACATTGCTTATCTCTGGGAAAAAAGTGGAAAAAGGACAACCCATGTGACATGTTTTTACTACAGCACACCATGGATATGAAATTTCTGTGAGAGTTGTTATATCTGGTGGGTAATACTGATAATTCTCTAATGCATATTTACATGAAATTTAAAATTAATCATTGTTTTTGCTCAATATAAATTTGATTTCTTTCCAGAGGCAAACGATGTTGATTACTGAGCATGTACTCGGATATGGACATGTCCAAAGGCTGGTATCAAAATGGCAATACCAGCTCCAAAATTTGACAGGATACAGAGTGCCAAAATGTCATAATTTAGCAATGTTGTTCTAACAGTGAAATGTATTTTCATTACAAAATGTCAATTCTAAATATTATTTGTGGGCCCTATCATGAGAGAGATATAAATGTTATTTGGCATTGCTATAATTTGGCATGGAAGATAGCAGTCAATTGGAGATTAGTTTGGAAGAGTTGTTGGCAAATTTTAGCGTTGGCATGGAGGATAGCACACTGATAGAGATGCTCCAACTGCCTACTATACCCTAGTATTAAGTGGAATGACAAGCATTTGCATTGATGTAGATGCCTCACTGCCACATATGAAGAGGGGACAAAACACAAAAGAAAGTTTTGATGGTTGAGAATTCCATCTGAACCTTTATTCATTTATTCCCTTTGGATGAGAAATTTGCATATTATATTTCTGTTATGACTATAAAGTTACAAATTTTCTTACTACCGAGTTTGTCTGATACTTTCCATTGCATTTTGGTCTCCAGGTGCCTAAGGCAGGCAGGAAGCTGGCTCGTAATCTGACTCTTGTAGTAGTAACTTGTCTATGGTGGTTTTCTTTAATCAGTTTTTTTACTTGTACAAAAACCAATCACTAAACCAAACACAACTCACTCACATGAGCTGGGATCCACAAAAAGTTGGAATCCACCTCATGTGTGATTGATTTTTGTGTTCCTAGACTTTTTCTTCTTTAATTTGCCATGTTGGAGATTTGAGACTGTTGTGTAATCAGCAGGTAGATTTTTATGAAAGCTTTTAGATTGTGTCAATTTTTCATGGTTCACTCTTTCTTAAAGAATGCAGGCAAAAGTTGTTGATTGTTTTCTTAAATGATAATCAACCAACAGTTTTACTTTTCCGGTCAGGGAAGGCAACACAAACTGGAGAAGTCATTAAGTTAACACAATTTATGTTTTGGATGAATTTTACATCGGGATGATGTTTACCTATTGGTATCTGCATGCTTAAATCATTGATGATGATTTTGAGTGCTTAATTTTAAGAATGAAAGTGACAGCTATACATGAGCTAGGGCTTTACAGGCAGGAAGTCACAGAGATAGCACAAGCACTTGGTTATGGCTTTTCATGGTGTGGTAGTTCTTCAGAGATGTCTAATCCCTTTGATAATTATTTCATACTAAATGAAGGGTGGTATTCATCTCATTCTTTTGAGGGTTTACCAGTGTTGGGCAGGAGGTATTCTCACAAAAACGTTGGTGATTGGGTTAAATTACTGGAAAAATGTGTAAGTTTTGTTATTGCATATTTACCTTTCATTAGTGATGAGTTTTCATCTTTATCATTTTCTAATTGAGCAAAAATTGACTTGACACAACTTCACCAAAATATGGATGGTACCAAGTATTTCTTTATTGTATTAATTAGCATAGATCATGTACGAACACAATTACGAACTAATCGAAAGAAAGAAATAGAAAAATATTTATTTCTAGACTTGATAGCAGTTAGTCTTGACATATATCTTTGCCTTTCAAGCCCTTTCCATTGTTTGCTAGAAACACAGTTCTAATTTTCCGGAGTCTGGCTGAGGCATCCTTCATGTTGATCCTCTCGTTCGGCTGATCTTTCAAACAGTCCATGGCTAAACTCAAGACTGACAACACACATTGCTCCTTAACAGTGAAATTTACATCTTCGGATTCACTTCCTATCAAATTGGAGTCCATAGCTAAAAGTATTGAACCACCATGACCCTGCAATATCATGTCGCTTACCCAACTTTTCAAGCTCATTTCTCCTTCAAACATTTCGTCTGTTGGCTTCTTCCTTGTGAATACTTCCATCAACATAATTCCGTAACTGTACACATCACCTTTTGCAGAGACTATCCCTTCCATTCCATACTCTATGCATCACATTGCAACTCATGATCAATATAATATCAATTAATTAAATTAAGTCCATAGAAGAAAAAATTGAAAATTGTGAACCTAAAAGATGGCCGTATGTACCTTATCAGGCGGTATATGTAATGCCAATACGCATTATGCAGCAGTCCGGTTCACAAACCGCAATTTAAAAAATTGGTTTTACAGTGTTGCTAATAATTTTTTTAAAAAATATGATCCTTGATATGTATCTGCCGATACTCTGGATCATCTAACCTTTGATGTGTCGGCCGATACTCTAAATCATCGTAGTATTAATCGATCTACTTTCATTTGGTATTTTGGCCTAAATTCCTCGACTCCTCGATACTCAATCAAATCCTCTAGTTAGACACATTGTGGCATAGATTGTGAGAATATGTATCGGGAATACAACTACAATTATTAGGGAATCTATTGCCTAATGATGATTAGACAATAGATGTCTTAATAATTATTCCCTAATTTTTTTGGATGTCTTCCCCAATTAATGAACCAAAAGAATTAATGAGAAACAATAAATAGCGAGAATCACCTGGTGCCATGTACCCAATTGTGGCGAGGGTCTTGGTTTGTGCTATATACTCTCCTTCACCAAACAGTTTTGCAATTCCAAAATCGCCAACATGTGCAACCATATCCTCGTCAAGCAAGACATTGTCGGGCTTCAAATCACAGTGAACAATAGGTGTTGTAAGACCGTGATGTAGATGTTCCATTGCTAATGCAACATCTATCATTATGTTCAACCTTTGCAAGACATCCAAAAAATTATTGTGAGAGTATAACCATTTTTGAAGGCTCCCATTTGGCATGTACTCGAAGATTAGGGCTTTGAAATTCGTGATACTACAACTACTAATGATTTTAAGGAGGTTTCTGTGTCGAATATTGCACATAACTTCACATTCAGTGTCAAAACTCTTGAATGATCCTTCCGTTTGCAAATTGAAAACCTTGATAGCAACACTCATCCCATCTAAAAGGATTCCTTTATATACAGAACCAAAACTCCCTGTACCAAGTAGGTTGCTTTCACTAAATGCATTTGTTGCTCGTACAAGTTCTTGATATGAAAACCGTCTCCATGAATGAATCATTGAATCTACTTGAATTGGTAGTGCCATATTGACTTTTCGACATCTTATCCACACAAAGGCTGCCACAAGTATTGCAAATGCAATTGACGGTAAGATATATTTCAGTAAATCCAAACTTTTTCTTGATTTGTGAATAGTTTTGCAGGGCGGGACTTGCAATCGAGGTGCACCACACAACCCAGAGTTTTGCATAAATGATTCAGCAGTGAAGTTTGCGAAATGCCCTCCAGTAGGAATTTCTCCTTGCAAGTTATTGAAGGAGAGATTCAAATATTGAAGATACTTGAGTGCCTCCAGTGATTGAGGAATGTCTCTGGACAAATTGTTATGGGATAGATCCAAGAATTCCAAGTTTATCAATTTGCCCAATGATTGAGGAATAGGTCCTTGTAGTTTATTATGTGCCAAGGAGAGAGTAACTAATGCTTGGGCTCCTCCAATGGTGCTTGGGATATCGCCTGATAACTGATTCCATGATAAGTCTATTTCTGTTATGACCCTCAAATTTCCAATATCTAGTGGTATGTAGCCAGTGAGAGAATTTGAGGACAGGTTTAGACCGAGGAGATCCCTAAGGCTCCACAAGGTTAAAGGTATTGTGGAATTCAAATTGTTGGATTCCAAGTAGACATGTCTTAGGGTTTTTTGTTCACCCAAGCATGCTGGTATTGATCCATTTAGCTTATTATCACTTAGATACAAGTCTCCCAAATTCTTCGACATACAAAAATCATTTGGGATGGTGCCTTGTAGCCTATTGTGTTCAAGATTCAAGCGTTCAAGGTGTTCTAACCTTCCAATTGTTGCAGGGATAAAGCCTGTGAACTCGTTGTTATCTAGACTTATGATATTCAAGCCGCTCAAGTTGCCAATGCCAATGGGAATTTCCCCCTTAAGTTTGCATCCGAATGCTTCCAATGATTGAAGCGAAGTGGAGAGATTCCCAAATGACGCTGGGAGGATGCCATTGAATTGATTCATTGCTATTCCCAAATGTTCCAAATTGTTGCAATTTGCTAGAGAAGTAATAAAATTTAATTCCAGAGAAGAAGATTCCCGGGTAAGATTATTTTCAGAGACAGAGAATCTGCGCAGGAATCTTAGATTTCCAAGTGTGTTGGGTATGGAGCCGGTGAATGAGTTGGTGGTCATCTCTAGGATGGTAAGTTTGGATGCATTGGAGATGGAGCTTGGTATGGTTCCACTGAGTTTATTTTCAGCTAGGTAAAGCTCTTTAAGATTGGGAAGCCAGAGGCCAAGGCTTGATGGAAGATGGCCTGAGAGCTGATTCCCATTTAGGTTGATGATTCTTGCTGTTGATATGTTGAAGATTTGGGAGGGAATTAAGCTGGTTAAGCCTGTGAAAGCGATTGTCAATCTCTCAAGATGAAGGTTACCTATTTCTTCTGGTAACGAACCTGCACACAATGTGAAATTAGCTTGGTATGGTTCCACTGAGTTTATTTTCAGCTAGGTAAAGCTCTTTAAGATTGGGAAGCCAGAGGCCAAGGCTTGATGGAAGATGGCCTGAGAGCTGATTCCCATTTAGGTTGATGATTCTTGCTGTTGATATGTTGAAGATTTGGGAGGGAATTAAGCCGGTTAAGCCTGTGAAAGCAATTGTCAATCTCTCAAGATGAAGGTTACCAATTTCTTCTGGTAACGAACCTGCACACAATGTGAAATTTAAATCTTGGGTTTTTAAGAGGCCTAGTGGCTTCCAAACAACAGCTGCGGATTTACTATGCAAACTTGTAAGGAAAAGACCAAGTTTAGTTTGGTAAGTACCTGTCAACTTGTTGAAACCAAGATGTAATTCTCTTAGCAATGTAAGGTTCCCAATGTTGTTAGATATGCTTCCTGTGAAATCATTAATTGCCAATGACAATATTTGAAGCCATTTACATTCCCACAAGCCTGGTGGAAATTGGCCAGAAAGCTTATTCGAATTAAGTTGTAGTTCTTCAAGGAAAGGGAGATCATATTGAATGTCCAATGGGAGGCTTCCAGATAGGCTATTGTTTGTGAAATCAATTACTCTTAGTGAAGACATGTTGACGATAAAAGATGGAATAGGCCCTGTAAGTGAACCACTTTTTGCATTCAATACCTCCAAATTGACAAGATTGCCCATCTCTGATGGAAGTTCACCTGCCAAGTTGTTAAAACCAGGGCATTATTATCTTTGGATAAATTATAGTGAGCTCCCTTGAGACTTGGAAAAAATACAAGGTCTATAGTTTTAATATAATTATACTAACTTTCTTTTTTAGTAAGTTCAAAGAAATCAAAACTATTGCAAATGGTATAAAAATACATAGATACACATCGTAAAATATATATTTCAATATAAAAGAGATGATAATATTATTTTTTTAATTCATACAACTAACGGATTTCTGATGAAAAGAAAACCAAGTGTTATACGAATTAAAACTTTATGTGAGCTTAGTGTAATTATACCAAACTTGTGAGACTTCTTATAATTTTTCAAATCTCAAGAGAGATTAGTGTAACTTACTTATCATCTTTTTACATCCACAAAAAAATAAAAGAGAGACATTGGGTTAGTATTTAGAGTTTCAAATTTTAATTTAAACAAAGCAGTTTGTATGAAGTTACATGTCGGACTTGTATTTAAGGGAGTAATGTGAATATACTATTTTTTCTATTTCTTTATTATCTCTTTACTAATTAGGAATTAGGGTGAAGTGGACGGAGATGACGGTTAATACAGTATTTTTATTTTGATGTTCGAAGGTATTTAGGTATTTTTACATTTTATGTACCCTGGTGAAGAGCGTGGTGATAAAAGTTGCGTTTGGTAGAATTTTTTAAATATGATTTGAGAGTAGGAGTTGTATTTTGAGTTTGTGAGTTTTAGAATTATGATTTGAGTGTAGAAAATTTATATAGTGAAAGAGTTTTGAATTGAGTGGGGAATTTTTAATGTGACATATGATATTTGATACAAAAACTTACAACTCATAATCAAACATACAACTCAAAATTCTATGAAAGCACATAAAAAAAATTTAAAAATTCGGAAAATATTTTTTTCGAATATATTAAAATTAACATATGTCAATTGCAAAAAAAAAAAAAATTGCACTGTTCTGGTCAATCGGCGCTTCACACAGACTCAAAAATTTTTTTTTTGAAAATCGCGCTTCACACAGAATTTTCTACAGAGTTTTCCAAATATTGTGAAAATATAGTTTGAACATCCTATTCAAACATCTTATTAGAATGTGTGGGTAGAATCACAGTTTGGAAATCATTCCAAACATAGCAGAAGGGATTAGAGGGTAATTTTATTGAGAAAATTGTTGAGAAATTCAACTTAAGGAGAGTATAAGGTATTTGGTCCAATATATATTTTTTTGTTTGTGAGAGATCCAATATTTGTAAAATAGTTCGTTGAGAAATCCTTTCGTTTGTTTTGCACGACATTTTGTTTTCAATTTTACCTCTTAATTTATCGGTTGATATTTTTAATCTATTTAATTTTTTTACTATCTATTCAAATTATTTTTTATCTGTTTAAATTTATATATACCTGTTCAAAATGTTTGACTATCTGTTCAATTTTTTTTTCTCTTATATATTCAAATTTTATTATATGTTCACTTTTTTCGCTAATCTGTTTAAATCTATCTGTCCAAAATTTATTAGCGGTTCAAAATTTATTATCCGTTTGAAGGCTCATTTTTCCTATCTGCTCAAATCTTTCTCAGTCTTTTTTTCTTCTGGCAATTTTGTAATCTGTTCACTTGCAATCTGTTTCTCAATCTGTTCAAATTTTATCATCTGTTTGAAGGCCTATTTATCATATACGTTCAAATCTTTTTCACTGTCTCTCTCTCCCTAGGCAATTTTTTTATCTGTTCATTTGCAAGTTGTTTCTCAACAACAACAACAAAAATCAAATCACAAATAAACAATAGATCTGAGCCAGATCAACAACAACCACCACCAATCCATGCCTTATTCCCCATTTGATTTCTATAGTATTCAACTATCACCAATCCAACAATCACTAACCCAACCCAACCACCACATCCATTCCTCAATAATCCCTAACCCAACTCAACTCTCATCTCCGAAGAAATCCGAAGTTCAGATCAGAAAAATGTGGTGATGGAAGAGGCAGTCCACATCTTTTTTCCTTTATCTCAAACTAAACAATCTGAGATCTGAGCTCATAGAAACAACCATAGCAGATTCATCCTCAGGACGCCTAGGACATCGACGATGACGCCTCCGTCGACAGCAGTCTGAAATGGGTAAAACCGTCAGATCTGAGACGCAGTCGATTTTTCTTCAACGATCTTTAGAAACCCTAATCTCATCTCTATTTCAGACCGAAGGCGGTGGATCTAGATCTGGATCTGGATTGAATGGAGGGAGAGAGAGCGTCGAGATCACGACGGAGGTGGCGGAGTCTGCGGCGGATTTGGAGAGAGAGAGAGAGAGAGAGAGAGAGAGAGAGAGAGAAAGAAAGTAGAGAGATTGGTGAAGCCTCAGACGGCGGTGACGTTGTCGGTTTTGATTAATTATGAAGCATTGTTGATATTTGGTGATTTGTTGAAACTCTCAAATGGCGGGGAAAAAGAGACGGTGGGCATGGGCTGACGGCGCTGGAGAAGCTAGAGAGAGAGATGAGAGGGTTTTAGAAAACAGTGATATCGAAACGATCAGGAGTACGCCGGAGAAGAGAGGGAAACGGATCACCGGAATCACCACCACCACCACCACTGGTATCGACGGAGACGGAGGTGGTGGTGTCAGAGATGAAAAGGAGAAAAGAGAGAAAAGCTTAGGGTTTGGTTTCAAAGGAGAGCATGAGTGTGTGTGGACTTTTGGTTTCGGAGGAAAGAGAAAGAGAGACGATTTCATACATATAGTGTATGAATGTTTTAAAAATCGGATCGGTGAGTAAATTGAAAAAGAGATCGGATGGACGGGTCACCGATTTAATCGTCGGGTTGTATCGGAATCAAACCGTGACATAATAAATATATTAAAATTATATTTAAATAAAAATATAAGTAATAAAATTATAAAGGGAAAATTATTTTTAAGTCCTATTAGGGAGACTTATGCTACATATGGTCCTACTAAAAATCTTATGTTTCCATAAGTCCTGTGGGAAGTTTGTTGACACATTTACCCTCAATATTAGTTGTTAATATCATAAATAATAGTAAAACCATATATAGGAAATTGAATGTTACCATAGATCATGTTTATATAAACGAACGTAATGTGACACCTACATAAACGCAACGTGACACCTATACGTAAAGCGACACCTACATAAACGTAACGCGACACCTATGATCTATGGTAACATGCAATTTCCTATATAAGAAATTGCAAAGAAATTGCATGTTACCATAGATCATATCACATAAACGTAACGTAACGTAACGTGACACCTACATAAACGTAACATGACACCTATGATCTATAGGAAATTGAATGTCACCATAGATCATATCTACATAAACGTAACGTGACACCTATGATCTATGACAATTGAATGTTGCCATAGATCATATTTATATGAAACGTAACGTGACATCAACATAAACCAGCGACATTTTCACATTCAATTTTAAAAAAATAAAAACTCATTAAGTTTGCGAAACATAACGTGACACGTTACGTTACGTTTATATAGGTGTCACATTACGTTTATGTAGGTGTCACGTTACGTTACGTTTATGTAAGTGTCACATCACGTTACGTTTATGTAGGATCTTGTGGAATACATTCCTATCTAAATAGGACTTGAGACTCTATAAGAAATTACACAGGACTTATCCTACTATAAGTGTTTGAAAAATGACTTATAAAAAAGTCTTCCTAAAAATAAGTTATTTTAGTCAAATAAAACAAAATGTTACATTCAACCTATAATTATTTCATTTTTTCTTTAAAAAAGAAATCAAAAATCAAAAAAATTATTCAAAACAAGACTTTTTAGTCTTAAATTAAAATAATTAAAAATTTAATCCACATTTCAAACGAGCTCATAAAATACTTAACAAACTCTATAAAATAAAATTTGTCCCGACCTCTTAAAATAAGCTCTGCTTCCAACCTCTTAATCAACTGTGCTTCGCCCAAGAAATTAGCTCAAAAAAAAAAAAATTAAACTTGTAACCTTGAAACTTAAATCCCAAACCTTAACCATAATATAATATCACCCACCTTGATTGTTAAAAAAGAATTTAAAATTGAACCTTAAGATATTCTTATATATATATATATTATTTATATATATATATATATATATATAATAAGAAAGAAAGAAATAAAAGAAAGAGAAAATTTAAAAAAAAAAGAAAAAAAACATTCCAAGTCGATCAACCCGCCGGTTCAACCGGTTCTCCTTAAATAGGCCGGTTTTTAGTTTTGACCGATTCAGAGGGTATATTCGGACCGGAACCCCAATCGTTCAACAGTTCAACCGGTTGAATCGGCCGATCTGGTCCGGTTATCAAAACCTTGGAGTGTATTTTAAGAGGTGTTTGACAAAGGCTATTTTTTAATTTTTTGGGCTAAAATTTATAAAATGATAAAATATGATAAAATAGTTAATAAGATAAAATGTCACATCAAATCCATAATCATTTCACTTTTTCTTTTACAAATATCATATCTAACTACAAAAAAATCTAACTATCTTCTTTAATACAAAAATTTTAGCCCACTAAAATAACTAAAATCTAAAATAATTTACTAAAATAGTAATTTCCCAAACACCCACTTAGTCCTGTCTTTATTCTTAATCTTTAACCAAATAAAATTGAGATTTGAATTTGTAGACTGATTCAATTTTATTATGATAATAGAGAGTATTTAAATAACAATCATTAAACTTTCTTTTCAAATTGATGTAGCGGAATTGTGTGTAGCAAAAATTGAAGTAACAATATCAAAATATAACTGAATCGATTTTTGTATTGTTTATGAACGGCAGATCCTTAAGACTTTAATCTTATTTATCGTAAAACAAATATCAAAGAGAGTAGGAAAGATAATAATTCTAGATAACTCAATATTAAATCAAAATAATCCTAATCAAATAATAAAAATAGCATGTATATATATATATATATATTTAAATTCGAATTGCATTATAAATCCTAGAACACTTCATCTATACCAATTTGTGGTATAAAAAGGATAAGTTACACTATGCCTTTTTATGTTTGATAATTTTTTTACCTTGGTCTTTTAAAATTATTTTCCCACTTTGACTCGTGTTTGAAGTATTTCTCAATTCATTGCTAAAATTAATTTATATTTAAAATTATACAGAAAATATCACGTTAAGGTTAGGGTTTAGGTTTGTGTCAGAAGTGTGAGTTATGTATAATAAAATATTTTTGTATTACACGACTATCAATGTGCCATTTCTATCTAATTTTACACGTAAGTTAACTTTTATAGTAAAATGAGAAAAATTTGGAACATAAGCAAAACCAAAATGAGAGGAAAAGAATTTTAAGAATCAAAATTGAAAAAATAACCAAACATAAAAAGAATAGAGGGGTAATTTATCCATTTAGAAACCATACCTTTGAAGTCGTTATAACCGATATATAACTCCTTAAGCATAGTCAAGTTGCCGATTTCTCGAGGTATGCTGCCATTGAAACTATTAAATGACAGCGATAGATGTTGAAGCTCCCTGCATTTGTACAAACTAGATGGAATTTCGCCATAAAACCGATTGGCAGATACATAAAATAGTTGCAGATTAGGAAGATGATCACACACATACACAGGAAGACTATCATACAAGTTATTATAGGTGAGAGCGATAGTCTGCAACGACGACATGTTGAAGAACATAGCAGAGGGTATAGAACCCGTAATCTGATTGCTTTCCAAATTCAAAAATTTCAAATTGGAAAGTTTACCAATCTCATCAGGAATGTTTCCTTGCAGATAATTCTGGCCTAAATCGAGTCCCTCCAGGTTTGAAATGTTGCACAGTGAAGATCCAATTGTGCCTGTGAAACTGTTGTTGTATAGAAGCAAGTATTGAAGCTCTGGTAAATTACCAAACCATGAATATGAATTCAAATCTCCAGTAAAGTTGTTGTAGTCAAAATTGACTTGTTTGAGTAGATGCAAACGAGACAATTCCTCGGGGATTTGGCCGTGGAAATCATTGAAACTGATGTCGAGTAAAGATAGAAATGAGAGGTTGCCGAGGTGGGGAGAGAGCGAGCCTGTGAGGGACATGTCGGAGAGATTCAGGGATGTGACCCTTTGGTGGAGGACACCACAGGTGATCCCAACCCAGTTGCAAACTGAGGTAGAGGTGGACCAATTGTCAGCCAAGACATTATATGGGTCTAAAGTAATGTAGGATTTGAAGGAGAGAAGAGCAGATTGGTCTGTGGTTAAGTTGGTTATAGATAAGGAAGAAATTGAATGATTTAGTACCAACAATACTGCAGCAGCAATGAGGAAGCTAGTTTTCTCCATGAAATTTGTAAACTATAAAATAGACTGTGTGTACATATATATATATATATATATATTACTCAGTCGTGTGTAATTCAAAAAAAATAAATACCTTCTTTATCAAATTCATGATTTTAGGGGTATTTTGAAAAGTTGGTAAAAAGCTGACTATTGGCTTTTTACCAAGCTTTTTTGCTTTTTGGAAAATGATTTGAAAAGTTGGTAAAAAGTTGGCTTTTGGCTTTTTCGTTTAATATTTGTTTATGGTGTCAAATTAAATTAAAATGACCAAAATACCCTTACTCAACATAAGAAATTTATTTTTTTATTTTTTTGTCATATGCTTCAATTTGTAATTTCACACTTGTGTTTTTGGCACTTTCCAAACCAATTTTGTTACGTTTTTTCCACTTGCATTTTTGGACATTTTGACAAAAACGTGACTTTTTATTTTGATTCTCAAAACAACACTTAGTTATGAGTAATATAATTTTTATATTTTAGAAAAATTCAAAATATAAGAAATCAACACCATGAAAGTCTTCACATATATAAAGGGATATTTTTTTAAAAAAAATCAAAATATGAGACGTAAACACTATGAAAAGTCTTCACATATATAATAATGTATAATATAAAGAATAGGTGTGTGAGATAGAAATAAAATAATAATATACAAACAAAATATTCGAATGTCTAATTGTGATTTCATGATTTTAAAATAAAAGAATCATCATTTGGATTTATAATTCAAAAAACGAGACTGACAAATTATTTTAGATGAAATTCTATATGGGTAGTAACAATTTTGATATTAATATGACAGATGGATTTTTTTTTTTTAATTTTAAAGTGATAAATTTATAATTTTATCTTATCATTATGAGGGTGTTTGGCAAAGACTTTTTTTTTGGATTTTGGACTAAAATTCACAAAATGACAAAATAGACTAAAATAGTCAATAAAACAAAATGTCACATTAAACTCATAATCATTTACTTTTTCTCTCACAAATATCACATCCAACTATAAAAAAATCTAACTATCTTCCCAAACACAAAAATTTTAACATACTAAAATAGCCAAAAATTAAAATAATCTACTAAAATAATAACTTCCCAAACAACCACTACATATATAACTTTATTTCTTGTCCGCTAATATCCTCTGGTTAGTTGTAAATCCAACGCTATGTGTAATTATAGAGAAGTTACTTTTTGATTATGGGCATAGTTAGGTAGTATCCCAAAACATTGTGATATATGGAATTCACAATTTGATATCAAGTAATGAGAAAACAATAAAACACATGATATTTGATGATTAGTATGAACATTATTACCTGATATTTCAGTTAATAATTTTTCGTAATTATAAGTCAAGGTATAGGTGCAACCACCTTTACTGGTACCCCACTGGGTTGGTCATGTGTCTTATATCATGAGGATGATTTTAATGATTTGAATAATTTATTCAACAATAATTGGGACCTCTTTTTTAGGATTTATAATTTTATTTGGATCTCAACTATTGATAGTATGAGTCTCACACATACATGAGTGAATTCTATACATACATGAGTGGTTGAGATCCAAAGGAGATTGTGGGGGTCCCAAAAAAAGGGATCTCAAGTATTTTTCTAATTTATTTTATGAAAATTTAGTCAAAATTTTTTTATTGGACCTTCATTTAGTGAAAAGTATAACCTAATTTATTTTACTTCATAAACCCCCTAAGATGGAGGCGCATAATTAAATAAGGACATAGTAAAATTTCTTTTTTGTTTTTCTTAGACAATATTGTCAATGCATATATATATATATATATATATATCTCATAACTCTTTTGGCGAGAAATATTTTTATTTTATTTTATATAAGTTTATGTGTATGTGTATTTTTGGTTGATTCATCTAGTATGTACTTTGTTTTTTGTAGCAACAAAATGTTACTGTGAGATAGAGTAACATGTTACTGTTTATGATAATTTTTATGATATTTTTTATTTTTTAAGAATTTCAAGTCAACATGGATTTTGTTTAATAGATTTTGATGAGAGAATTTTAAAAACACCAACTTTATTAAAAACCAACATTTAGATCAAAAGTTGTATTACTTTAAAGTTTAAAATATTAAATTACTCATTAAATACATTTTGGTAATAGTGGTGTTAGTAAAAATTATGTTGAGCCTGGATCAACAACCAAGCAATAATCTTAAACTAGACAATTAAATAGGAACAATCAAACAATTGTGATACTGGTTTGAATGCCTCAAAAGGATGATGACTTCTTTGAATCAACTAATGGCAACAAAGTAAACAAGAAGAAAACAAACTGCCTTATATCAACTGATGGTAACAAAGTAGACAAGATAAACAAAAATAATTTCAGACTAAAATCACCAAAGTTCACCCAGTTATAAAGTACAAATTACAGTGGAAGAGCTACTCCTAAGTTACAATCTGAACTACTCTTAAGTTACAACCTGAACTACTCCTAAGTCTAAGTACTAAGTTGTTATGTTGTTGTAGATGATCCTTCTTTCTACAAAACTCTGGTTTTTATAGCTTTCCTTACTTCTATAACCCATGACCCCATAATCCTCCAAGTTTACAATTGCCGTTGCATAACTGTTGTAACTGCCCTCTTATTTCCAAAGATTCAAACTTCATTAAACCTTCACCTTCACCTTCACCTGTGGAACTGCTCTTATTTCATGATGTCACGTGTTCCTCAACACTCTAGACTTCCCATCGACAGAGAGAAACCTCCATTCTGCACATGACTCTTCTTGCAAGTTGCCCACTAAGATCATGACTTAGACTGATAACTGCTTCCTCATCTGGACCTAACCTGATAACTGCTCCATCATCTGAACCATCCAATGCATGTGATCATCCTCTCTAATGCCACTTGTCCCTTTAATTGATGTAGAACTCTCACTCCGACTTTGCCATATGTCATTATTCAATTGATCCACCTGTCGATAGGAGATTTACAAAAATGAGTGCAAACAAGTGGTGTTGATCAACTTTTCAAGAAATTTTTTTTGTACTTGTTCTTAATACATTAAAGTTTTATTGTGAGGGCGTTTTGATTGAATCCTCATTTATTTTATAGAGTTCTCAATATATATTATTTATGAAAAAATTAAGTCGATTTATAATTGTAATATTTTTATTTTATTGTAGTTGTCTAAAAAAACAAATGGTATATTTAGGTGCCGTTTGGTAACACTTACGTTTTTAGTTTTCTGTTTATGTTTACAAAAATTTTAAAAACTCAAATAAAAACTTGTTTGGTAAAATTTTTGATTTATAAATCAGTGGTCTCAGTGGTGGTGGCGAGTGGTGGTGGTGGTGGTGGTGTGGGTGGTGTGGGTGACGGTGGCAGGTGTTAGGTGGTAGCGAGCGGGTGGTGGTAGTGGTGGTGGTGGTAGGTGAGTGACGGGTGGTGGTGGGTGATGGTGGTGTGGGTGGTGGGTAGTGGTGGTGGGTGTGTGGCATGTGGCTGGTGGTGGATGGTGGTGGCAGCGTAGTGTGATAAGTGGTGGTGGCAAGTAGGTGGCGGGTGGTGTGCAAGTAGGTGGATGGTAGTGGCGGTGGATGGTAGTGGGTGGTGGTGGTGGTGGTGGGTAGCGAGGGGTGGGTGGCAGATGGTGGTGGGTGGGTGGTGGGTGGTGGTGGAGGGTGGTGGTGGCAGGTGGTGGTGAGTGTGTGGTGGCAGGTGGTGGTGCGGAAGACGGTGGTGGAAAATAGTGGCGGGTGATGGCTAATGTTGGGTGGTAAAAAAAAAAAAAACTGAAAACTCAAAATGGAAACACATTTTTTGGCCAAATTTATAAA